CACACACAGTACACATACAGTACACATACAGAACACACAGTACACACACAGAACACACAGTGCACACACAGTACACACACAGTACACACACACACACAGTACACACACAGTACACACACAGTACACACACAGAACACACAGTGCACACAATATACAGACAGAACACATGCATCGTGCACGGCGCGCGGCGTGTAGCAGCTGAAACTCTGGAACCCGTTGCCCCTTCGAGGTCAGGGGGACTTCACGAGGCACTTTACACAACTTTAGATTTCCACTAAAACACATCTCTATTCAAATCAGATTTTTCTCTTCAGTTATTTCCAAACGTATTGCTCACTTCTTCATCTTTTTTCTTTCCTTGGTTGTTGGTAAACTATTTTTTAATTCCTTGGTTGTTGGTAAACATTTTTTTCTTTCCTTAGTTGTTAAACATTTTTTTATTTCCTTGGCTGTTATCAAAATATGTTTTCTTTCCTTGGTTGTTGTTTAAAAAAAAGATTTAACTTTCCGTGGCATAGCGCCACTGAGAACGACCGCTTAAGGGGAGCGCTTTATAAGTACACATTATTATTCGAGTGAATTCAAACCGCATAGAGCGAATTTGGGCTATAGGGTTGCCGCATGTATATGGGATTGCGAAATCGCACAAAGGGAACCCCGCATAGAGCGAGGCAAAAACCACGACCTCCTGTGTAGCCGGCGAGGTATTTAACATCTCGCCACAATTCCGGCCTTAAACTGGTAAACTAAAACAGTTCTAAAATAGTTCATAGTAATTTACCCCCTTGTTTAAGGCGATAACAAGTAGAAAGATCGCCCGTGTAGCGTGTAACATACTGTTGGGGCAAAGTGCTGTTAGCGAGCACCTATGAAGGCCGGCACGGCACATGAGGGATTGGGTGGCCAGCACCACGCCCGGCCGCCTTTGTCTCCCCAGTGGCGAAGTTTTTATGCACCGCACCAGGTCCTCATTTGAGGCTGAGGCGACCTAAGGGGAGGAGGCCCCAGACACCGGTTCAGATAATCCGTCACTGGTGTTGGCCGTGAGCGGGAATTGAACTTGGGTCGCCAGGTTCGTAGCACAGCGCGCTAACCACTACACCACCGCTCCCCCACACACACAGACACACACACAGTCTCACACAACAACAACCACCATTCGCCACTAAGTGGCGGTGACGTCACCACGACGCTTGTGCCAGGCCATGTGCACCTTGAGGCCACGTGAAGTGTCGAACGCCCGCTGGCAGGAGGTCACGAGGCAGACCCAGGTTCCATGCGTCGACTGACTGAGATGACTGAGATGACTGAGATGACCGGCTGATGCAACACCTGTGCCCCCGACTGTGCCAACTTGCTGTGCTTTAGCCACCCGGCGCTCCGCTCGTTGTTGTGAGCGTCGCTCCTCAGCCCTCTGTTGTTGTTGGAGGGCGACTGCCTCCAACTGCCCAGTAGCGTCCTTCACGAGCCTCCTCCATAGAGGCCGATCTTGACACCGCTGGTACCAGTCATCGGCAAGTCCACTCAGCTCCACGTCCTCCTGTACCACATCACTCCATCTCTTCTCTAGCCCGTGCCGCGCCTGCTTAGCCCCCTGGATCCGGCCGAACAAAAGCTGTTTCGGCATGCGGTGGCTGGGCATGCGGGCTACATGACCCAGCCATCGCAGCCTTGCCTGCCAGAGGAGCTCACCGATGGGACTTTGCCCAGATCTTTCAGGATTTGTGAGCTCCTCACACAATCCAGCCTGGTTAAACCCAGGATGGATCGTAGGCAGGCCAGCCTAAAAGTTTCTAACCGGCGAAGATTATACATACACACAAAGACAAAGATCCCCCGTATAGCCTTAACAGACTGTAGGGCAATTGCTGTTAGCGAGCCAATTGCTGTTAGCGAGTCAGCACCACGCCGGACCGCCTTTGTCTCCCCAGTGGCGATGCTTACACACCGCTCCAGGTACTCATTTAAGGATGAGTCGACCTAGGGGAGGAACAGGACCGGTTCAAATAATCGTCACTGGTGTTAGCCGTGAGCGGGAATCGAACCCGGGTGGCCGGGTTCATAGCGCAGCGCGCTAACCGCTACACTACCGCTCCCCACAGACACACAGACACACACAGACACACACACAGACAGACACACACACAGACAGACACACACACACACAGACAGACACACACACAGACAGACACACACACACACAGACACACACACAGACACACACACACACACAGACACACACACACAGACACACACACACAGACACACACACACACACAGACACACACACACAGACACACACACACACAGACACACACACACAGACACACACACACACAGACACATACACAGACACACACATAGACACACACACACAGACACACACAGACACACACACAGACACACACACAGACACACACACAGACACACACACACAGACACACACACACACAGACACAGACACACACACAGACACACACACACAGACACACACACAGACACACACACAGACACACACACACACACAGACACACACACACACAGACACACACACAGACACACACACAGACACACACACAGACACAGACAGACACACACACAGACAGACACACACACAGACAGACACACACACAGACACACACACACACACACAGACACACACACACAGACACACAGACACACACACACAGACACACACACACAGACACACACACACACACACACAGACACACACACACACACAGACACATACACAGACACACACATAGACACACACACACAGACACACACAGACACACACACACAGACACACACACAGACACACACACAGACACACACACACACACAGACACAGACACACACACAGACACACACACACAGACACACACACAGACACACACACAGACACATACACACACACAGACACACACACACACAGACACACATACAGACACACACACACAGACACAGACACAGACAGACACACACACAGACAGACACACACACACACAGACACACACACAGACACACACACAGACACACACACACAGACACACACACAGACACACACACAGACACATACACACACACAGACACACACACACAGACACACACACAGACACACACACACAGACACACACACAGACACAGACAGACACACACACAGACAGACACACACACACACAGACACACACACAGACACACACACACAGACACACACACACACAGACACACACACAGACACACACACAGACACACACACACACACAGACACACACACACAGACACACACACACAGACACACACAGACACACACACAGACACACACACGCGCGCGCGGTGTTATTGAGCACAGAGCCACGGCGCCTTGCACTTGGAGGGAGCATGGCGGGTTTGGGGCGGAGGGGGGGGGTATGGGGCGTAAATAAATAAATAAATCGCGAATAAAGGAAGCGGGTAAATAAATAAATCGACACAAATCTCGGGGCGCCCAAAGGAGCGCCCCGACTTCGACTGCTGCTCCACCCCCTCTCTCTCTCTCTCAAGGCCGTGTGTACACACACACAGCGTGTACACACACACACAGCGTGTACACACACACACAGGTGTAGACACACACAGGTGTAGACACACACACAGCGTGTACACACACACAGGTGTAGACACACACAGGTGTAGACACACACAGGTGTACACACAGTGTACACACACACACACAGCGTGTACACACACACACAGGTGTAGACACACACAGGTGTACACACAGTGTACACACACACACACAGCGTGTACACACACACACACACAGCGTGTACACACACACAGGTGTAGACACACACACAGCGTGTACATACACACACAGGTGTAGACACACACACACAGGTGTAGACACACACACAGGTGTAGACACACACAGCGTGTACATACACACACAGGTATAGACACACACAGGTGTACACACAGTGTACACACACACAGCGTGTACACACACACACACACACAGCGTGTACACACACACACAGGTGTAGACACACACACAGGTGTAGACACACACACAGCGTGTACACACACACACAGGTGTAGACACACACAGGTGTACACACAGTGTACACACACAGCGTGTACACACACACAGGTGTAGATACACACAGGTGTACACACAGTGTACACACAGCGTGTACACACACACACAGCGTGTAGACATACACACAGGTGTAGACACACACAGGTGTAGACACACACACAGGTGTAGACACACACACAGGTTTAGACACACACACAGGTGTAGACACACACACAGGTGTACACACACACAGGTGTAGACACACACACAGGTGTACACACACAGGTGTACACATACACACAGTGTACACACACACACAGGTGTAGACACACACACAGGTGTATACACACACACAGGTGTATACACACAGTGTACACACACACACAGGTGTACACACACACACAGGTGTACACATATACACTTAGAACACACATACGAAATACAAAGCATATATACACACACACACATAACATACATACATCACGTGCACATTCACAAATTCATCACCGACACACGTACACGCACAGCACTCATACATACGTCGCCTGCACATATACACACGTCAATCCACTAATTAATATATATTCACACACAATACACACAAACAGCACGTATACACGCGCTCATTAATATATACACAGACATACACATAATACACCGCACATACACATATATCACTTACACATTTTTCAACAAACACACAAATATCACCTATACACAAAGACCTACACACAAATATCACCTACACACACATATATACACACACACAGACCTACACACAAATATCACCTACACACAAATACATATACCCACATTCATACACACACACATATCACTTGCACACACACACATATACACACACACACATACCCACACACACACAAATACCCACGCACACACAAATACCCACATACACACACACATATATTACACACACACAAATACCCACACATACACACATCATCTGCACACACACACCACACACATCATCATCATCATAATTTACCGTGTTCCTTTTTCTGTAACGCTGATTAGAGCTTCATTAGCTTCACCGATGAACGAAGCCAGGCGTTGTTAATTAGTAGCTGCGGTACACGTGGTACGCAAGGGACGCGTTGTGTATATATATGTAGTATATATGTAGTATATATGTGAGCACGTCTCGCTAATATATCGGCCAGACTCAAGCAGCTCTGCGACACACACAACAATGGCTACCAAACCACGGTCATTCGTTCGTTCGTTCATTTCGTTCATTCGTTAACGTGCGCGCTCGTGCGTTCATTCCATCCGTTCGTGGATTCAATCGTTCGTTTCTATAGTTCATTCTTTCGCTCGTTCGCTCAATCGTTCATTCGTCCAACAGTTTGTTCAGCCGTTCAATTGTTCGTTCATTCGTTTCGTCAGTTCATTCGTTCGCTCTTTCGTTCATTCGTTAAATAGCTCGTTCATTCAATCGTTCAATTGCTTAATCGTTGGTTCATTTGAACAATACTCTGTTAGTCGTCCGTTCATTCAATCGTTCGTACATTCAATAGGCCGTTCGTTCAGTCGTCAATTCATTCAAGAGTGCGTTCGTTCGTTCATTCGTTCGCCTTCGTTCCACGAGACATGAGCAGCCCAGACACTGGATACGCGAGCGACGAACACGCGTGCCTGCACAGTAACGCACAGCAACACGCGCACAGTCGGACACACACGGACACTCAAGGTCACACACACACTCACGGTCACACACACAGTCAGATACGCACTCACAGTCGGACGCAGGCGCACAGTCAGACACAGGCGGAGAGTAGCTCGCAAGCCCCTCGACAGCCGCGTCCGCATATGGCGATGAGTTCCTTCAACCTCCCGTCCTGGATGGACTCGCATCAACCGCAGGACATGACCGTATCAACCACAGCTACCACCTCTACCACCACCAGCACCACCACCAACAACAACAACAACACAACAACCAACAGCATCAGCAAGGGCGGCTGCGGCGCCAAACTGAGAAAGTTCCAAAATGGAAAAATTGGCGACACCGAAGAAGATGAGGTTGGGGTTGTGGCGGAGGACATGGAGGAGGACATTGAAGAGGACGTTGATGATGGGGAGGAGGGTGACGATGTTGTTGATGATGGCGGCGGCGGTGACGATGAGCACGTGGCGGTGGCGATGAGTCGCGCGGAACTGGCGCTCGGTGGCGGCGGAGCAACCGGCAACTTGGGATCGACTTTTCTCACAGCGCAGCATCTGCATCATCATCATCACCAGCAGCAGCAGCATCATCTTCAACAACATAGTCTTCATCATCATCAGCTTCATCAGCAGCAGCAGCAGCTGGGATCTGTCGGGGTTGCGACGTCACTGACGGGCGGCGGCGGCGGCGTCGCGGCTGGAGCCGGGCCCGGCGCGCGCAGCAAACCGGCGCAGGAGGCGCGCATCAGGCGGCCTATGAACGCCTTCATGGTGTGGGCCAAGGACGAGAGGAAGAGGCTGGCACAGCAGAACCCGGACCTGCACAACGCGGAGCTGAGCAAGATCCTCGGTGAGAGAGAGGGGGGGGGGGGGAGACTCGAGGTTGCGGGAGAGATTGGGAGTGAGATTCAAAGATGTACTTTTATTTCACCACGGTTAAGCCGCCCCCGCTCCCACTGAGCTGGATAGCTCTCTGTTTTTGTCGGAAGCCACGAGGATGCTGATGATGATGATGGATAGCCGTGCTGCGTGTGCGTGAGTCTGTGTGCGTGAGTCTGTGTGCGTGAGTCTGTGTGCGTGAGTCTGTGTGCGTGAGTCTGTGTGCGTGAGTCTGTGTGCGTGAGTCTGTGTGCGTGAGTCTGTGTGCGTGAGTCTGTGTGCGTGTGTGCGTGAGTCTGTGTGTGCGTGAGTCTGTGTCTGTGTGTGCGCGAGTCTGTGTGTGCGTGAGTCTGTGTGTGCGCGAGTCTGTGTCTGTGTGTGCGCGAGTCTGTGTGTGCGCGAGTCTGTGTGCGTGTGTGCGTGAGTCTGTGTGTGTGCGTGAGAATGTGTGTGTGCGCGTGAGTCTGTGTGTGTGTGTGAGTCTGTGTGTGTGTGTGTGAGTCTGTGTGCGTGAGTCTGTGTGTGTGAGTCTGTGTGCGTGTGCGTGAGTCTGTGTGTGTGTGTGAGTCTGTGTGCGTGAGTCTGTGTGTGTGAGTCTGTGTGTGTGTGTGCCTATGTGTGTGTGAGTCTGTGTCTGTGCGCGTGTGCGTGAGTCTGTTTGTGAGGAGCGGCGGTGTAGCGGTTTGCGCTACGCTGCGCTACGAACCCGGCCGCCCAAGTTCGATTCCCGCTCACGGCCAACATCGGTGACGAATATCTGAACCGGTCCTGGGCCTCCTCCCCTAGGTCGACTCAGCCTCAAATGAGTACCCGGTGCGATGTGTAAACATCGCCACTGGGGAGACAAAAGCGGCCCGGGAGTGGTGCCGTGCCGGCCTTCGTAGGAGCTCGCTAACAGCACTTGCCCCAACAGTCTGCTAAAGGCTACACGGGGGATCTTTGTCTTTGTCTTCTTCATAAGTGCTGCTGCTCACTAACAGCGCTTGCCCCCCAACAGTCTGCTAAAGGCTACACGGGGGACCTTTGTCTTTATCTTCTTCATAAGTGCTGCTGCTCACTAACAGCGCTTGCCCCCAAACCGTCTGCTAAAGGCTACACGGGGGATCTTTGTCTTTATCTTCTTCATAAGTGCTGCTGCTCACTAACAGCGCTTGCCCCCCAACAGTCTGCTAAAGGCTACACGGGGGATCTTTGTCTTTATCTTCTTCATAAGTGCTGCTGCTCACTAACAGCGCTTGCCCCCAAACCGTCTGCTAAAGGCTACACGGGGGATCTTTATCTTTATCTTCTTCATAAGTGCTGCTGCTCACTAACAGCGCTTGCCCCCCAACAGTCTGCTAAAGGCTACACGGGGGATCTTTGTCTTTATCTTCTTCATAAGTGCTGCTGCTCACTAACAGCGCTTGCCCCCCAACAGTCTGCTAAAGGCTACACGGGGGATCTTTGTCTTTATCTTCTTCATAAGTGCTGCTGCTCACTAACAGCGCTTGCCCCCCAACAGTCTGCTAAAGGCTACACGGGGGACCTTTGCCAAGAGTGGGTCGGCACACAACGGCCCACTCTTGGTGAACGACGCCACCGGGAATCGCCACTCGCCGTGAACGCCGCCGACGACGAGGATTGTTTTTTTTTTGGCATTTCGCCTCGGTTAGCGACGGTGAGAATCGGTGAGGACAACGGGCAGAGCGAAGCGTGCTCGTACCGACGCGGTGATGTTGACTGCAGAGGCGGTCTCTGTGCGATTGACGAGATTCGCATTTACGACGTGTATGTGACTACGTGTTTTGACTATTTTCAAAGGAATGGCCCAGTAAGCTACGTAGCTAATTTTCAGAAGCGACCAGTGGCTTGTCGTCATGTAAATGTATAGCAGCCAAATACTCTCAAGCAACGCAAGTTGATTCTAAATACGTAGGGAGACAGAGACGCGCAGATTCCAAATATACATACAGCAGGCGTCAGGGTCGGGATCGAACCCACGATCTCCTGTAGACCAGGCGAGGTAGTTAACATCTCCTAGCCACCGTGATGATGATGAGAGAGAGACACGCAGACTCCAAATATAAAGCAGCAGGCGTCAGGGTCGGGATCGAACCCACGATCTCCTGCGTGCCAGGCGAGGGAGTTAACATCTCCTAGCCACCGTTATGATGATGAGAGAGAGACACTGCAAACTTCAAATATACAACAGGCGTCAGGGTCGGGATCGAACCCACGACCTCCTGCGTGCCAAGCGAGGGAGTTAACATCTCCTAGCCACCGCGGCAGATAATGCCACCACGGGTCAATGTACGACTTAGAAACTTGATTTACAACGCAAAACTCGATTTACGACGAATATACTTGATTTACGACGCATAAACTTGTTTCACGACGTAGAAACTTGATTTACAACGCAAAACTCTATTTACGACGAATATGATTGATTCACGCCGCATAAACTTGTTTCACGACGTAGAAACTTGATTTACAACGCAAAACTCGATTTACGCCTAATATACTTGATTCACGCCGCATAAACTTGTTTCACGACGTAGAAACTTGATTTACAACGCAAAACTCGATTTACGACGAATATGATTGATTCACGCCGCATAAACTTGTTTCACGACGTAGAAACTTGATTTACAACGCAAAACTCGATTTACGCCTAATATACTTGATTCACGCCGCATAAACTTGTTTCACGACGTAGAAACTTGATTTACAACGCAAAACTCGATTTACGCCGAATACACTTGATTCACGCCGCATAAACTTGTTTTACGACGATGTTTTCCGAATAAACGCGGTAAAATATTGCCCCTGAAATGAAAGAGAGAAAGCGCAGAGCGGCAAGTGACGTCTCTACTAATGTCGACTGTCTTTGGGGGGAAGCGGGTCCGATTTACGACGGGGTGTTTCCGAGTAGTGTCGTAAAAGCGAGGAGTAGATGGCTTTCGCGACCAATATTATCCATAATATGGGGGAGGGGGGGGGGTTGTTGGGGGTTTAGAGATCTCGTTGATATAAATGTGTCGTTAAACCCGCCACCACCTGACACAGCCAATCAGTAAGGTTTGTCATCTCTGGCTGTCCACCTGATGATGCTAGCTGTAATTGCTGGCGAAACGTCGTACTGCAGATTGTAAATGTTGTGGCTTGGCTCTCCGGCACACCGGTGTTGCTGTACCGGTGACGAATTGGCCACGTTCTGTTCACGTGACAACCCTTACTAGTTGGCTGTGTTCGGGTGGTGGCGGGTTTAACGACACAACATTTATATATTGACGCGATCTAACTCCCCCCCCCAACACAAACCCCCCCCCCCTATATTATAGATTAACACAACAACCAAAACAGAAACGAGTTTAACCCATCTACACAGCAGCTGCTGGCTGGATGTAGGGTAGGTGTGGAGGGGGTGGGGGTTAAAAAAAACCTTGCCTCCCCACATTATTTCAAATGCCGTGCCGGGAGATACCAATCGAAGCGACGCTTCTAAGATTCCGACTCTCGGTGTGCAACCCTTTCATTTGTGGAATCGCTCCGATCCCGGTCCGCCTTCGACAATTATTATAATTATTGCCCCCAAGGTTATCGAACAAATCCTCCGATGCGACCTCCCAGATGCCCCCAACGTCCGACTGACGTCTCCCACCGTTGAGCCGACTTTGTGCCAGTCGCCGTCGGCTGATGTCGGCTAAGATTGTCGCGTGGGGTATAACAATGCCTGGTTCGTTCAACGCCGAAATCATGATTGGCATTGTGATGTTTCGATTTTCTTAAACGCTTGTTCTCGTTAAATCGTCTTCTCCAGCGGACCGCAGAGCCGCTATCGGTGGTCGAGCTCAGAGCGAGGTCTGCCCGTGTCGCCCTCCACCACCCAGCGACGACACAGCCGATCAAGTCGAGTTGCTGCCACCTCACGGGGGTCTAAATCTGCCCCCCCCCCCCAGAAGCTAATTTGGTTTCGTTAGCAACAAAAACAAACCGATTAGTGAATAGCAAGCAAACCTCTCGTCACCGGGTTATTCACAAAGAGCTCCGCTTGAGTCAAAGAGATCCCTCATCCGGATCCGTGAGTAGCCAGCGAGTTGGTGAAGTTTGCGTGCAACTTCACCAACTTCACCGTTGCTCGTATCCATGTTGAGCTCGGCTTGGTCGCGTTCTTCCTCAAACGGTTACCCCATGCACAGTCCACGATTTACAATTGCTCGGTGTACAATGGACTTACGCCACCTGGCAAATATCCGAGGTGGTTTGTATATTTTGTTTGCGCACCAGGGATATATATATTCATTGACAGCCGCTTTATCAACAAACAGATGTTTCGGGGGGAAACATCCGTACGCAGCAAACTTAAAACGCTGCAGGTTATTGTTGTTGTTATTCCCAAGGGATGACTATATGCTTGATCAGTGCGCATCCATCCGTGACGGACTGGACTCCATCCGTGACGGACTGGACTCAATCCGTGACGGACTAAACTCAATCCGTGACGGACTAAACTCGATCCGTGATGGACTAAACTCAATCCGTGACGAACTAAACTCAATCCGTGACGGACTGGACTCGATCCGTGACGGACTGGACTTCGATCCGTGACGGACTGGACTCAATCCGTGACGGACTAAACTCAATCCGTGACGGACTAAACTCGATCCGTGATGGACTAAACTCAATCCGTGACGAACTAAACTCAATCCGTGACGGACTGGACTCGATCCGTGACGGACTGGACTCAATCCGTGACGGACTGGACTCGACCCGTAACGGACTGGACTCGATCCGTGACGGACTGGACTCGATCCGTGACGGACTGGAGTCAATCCGTGACGGACTGGACTCAATCCGTAACGGACTGGACTCGATCCGTGACGGACTGGACTCAATCCGTGATGGACTAAACTCAATCCGCGACGGACTAAACTCAATCCGTGACGGACTGGACTCAATCCGTGACGGACTAAACTCAATCCGTGACGGACT